GACCGCGAGATCGTGACCTGGCTGAAGTTGGACGCTTAACCGACTGCGCCACCCAGGCGCCCCTATACTGTATTAATATAATTGTTAATGCCATCTCACTCACCAGTCCTTAAGCTTTATAAGGGCAGGGACAGGATTACCTGGTTTACTACTTAAATTCCCTGCTCCAAGCTCCAGTACTTACCCCCAAACCAAGTACATAATAGGTGCTTAATAAGTATTTGTTGAAAAAGTAAACATATCAGATAAGACAACCTCTGAAGAACGTATGGTTTACAATACATATGAAAATTTCACACTCTAAAGAAAAGATAAACCTCAATTTTCAAAGCATGTTTTCATAAGCCAGCAAAAATAATGCTATTTAAAATATTTGTTGTACTGGGGCACCTTGGTGGCTCAGTCAATTGAGTGTCTGACTTAGCTTGGGTCATGATCTTGTGGTCAATGAGTTCGAACCCTGAGTCAGGCTCTGTGCTGACAGCTCGGAGCCTGGAGCCTGCTTTGGATTTTGTCTCCCTCTCTCTCTGCCCCTCCCCCACTCATGCTCTGTTCTTGCTGTCTCCCAAAAACGAATAAATGTTAAAAAAATTTTTTTGAATATTTGTTGTACTATTTTATATAACAGTATATATCATGTACAAACATAGTCAGCAATTCCAAGTTTTTAACTTAAACTCTACATTATTATAAAATTCTATGCAATATAACCCAAAAGTACAGAATACCAAAAATGAAGACACAGAAGTAGTTTTGTTACTGTTTGCAGAAGGGGAGGTGGAGTACAATTATGAGTATGTCACACCAAAAGTTAGAAGGGACCTGGGTTCTAGTGCTAACTCCAAGTTAATAATGTCCAGCTTTAGCATTCTATGGGGAAAAAAAATCCACATTTTACATTTAAGTTTGAAAATACGCAATTTCTTATGATTACAGTAACATAAATAAATTCTTTCTTCTATTCTAACATTTTACTTACCAGAAGTCAGATCTTTGTAGTTTTGTTGGTTTGTCAAAACCTGAGTAAGAACAGACCGCATCGCTCCTCCCATTTTAGTTAGATCTTCTAAAAAGGAAATTTGAGGTTCCAAAAGCTGAAGAACTTTGTTAAGGTCTTTTTCTGATGGTACATCGGCTGCTGTAAAAACATATAATTAACTTCCTTTAAGATATTTTGCTAAGAATAACAATATTTTATTCTTTTCAAATTACAGCAACTTGGGTAAGAGTATTTTATAATCAAAAAATTAATATAAGAACTCAGTTTAGAAGGTAGTTATCCACCCAGAGCCCAGCCTAGGGTAGACTTGCTCAAGAATTCAATTCTCTGAGAAAAGGTAAATGGGGAAAAGAGATGACTTCATAAGATATTAAGCATTTAATGTGGTTAAAAGGGATTCAATTTGAGGGTCCTATACTTCCAAATATATAAATGTAATCATAACATCATTTCAAAATTAGTGTTTAAGAAAAAGTAAGATCATTCTCTAAAATAAAACAAGACATTTTGAAACCAAATAATATTGAGAGTAGTGTAAGAATATTAGAACAAAATTATGTCAGCTCTAAATTTAAACCTGTGTAGCAAATAACCCATCCTCTATCATATTCTAAAAATACAAACTCATGTTAGCTGGAGGTCAAAGCAAGCAAAATGAAAAATAACTGTTTTCATAAACATGAATGTTTTTACTAAAATAGTTTTAAGATACCAGACAAGATATGTCTAGTAGAGCTGGAGGAAGAGAGAAGAAAGTTGTACAGCAACTGAAAAAGAATATTTAGGAGGGGAAAAAAAAAGTGATTTTTCAGAGAAACTGAGTCTTAAAGGAAGAAATAAATAATGAGATTTAGAGCTCAGATAAAATTGGCAAAGAAGACGCATCATAAGGGAGCCAGTGGGGGGGCCTGTGTGTCCAGGAAAGGGGATATCAATTTCATTCAACATTTATTCAGTACCTACTACATGATAGGCACTGAGAAGCAAAACTAAATAAAACCTAGTTTCTACCCCCAAGGAACTCACAACCCAGCTCAAAGATGATCTGTGAATGAAATTTTAGGTAACTCTTGACTCCTGAGACCCAAAACTAAAAAACCTTACTTTCTCAGTGGATTACTAATACTGTATATTATTCATCTTCATATCCTCCCCGATGACTTATGCAGTAACACAGCAGATATTTAATTCACATTTGCAAAGGCTCTAGATGAGCTCTGACATTGGTCTGAGGATTGTAGAGTGAAATGAGAAATGGAACTCAAGGCATCTGTCAAACAACAAGATCTCTGAGTTTCTATTACCTTGGATTAGATGATTTCAAGTCCTTTCTTTAATTTTAAACAGTGATCTCTACACAAAGCAATGTGGTAATTTTTCTGGCACAGCAAGAAGAAATGAATGCTGAGCACAAGTCGTAATACAGAAAGGAAATCTTCATGAACCTAAGTTCATGAAGCTCATCTGAAGACAAAAAAGTGCTTCCATTCACATTTGCAAAACAAATAATTATCAAATTAAATAGCAAATAAATAGCAAATAATTATCAAAGCTATGTACCTAGGTCATCTACCTTTTATAACTGCTAAAGGTAACTAAAGGAAAAAATAAACATAATGTACTTTTGTGTGAATTGCTCCCTGATCTAATGGTAAGGTTTAAAGTTCTCATAATAAATGATTTCTACCTATTACTCTTCTAAAATAGGACATTCATAATACAAAATGTAAATTCCCAAAAACTCTATTAACTAGTATATGAGAAATAGCACAAAAGGCAAGTTCAATAACCAGCTGGCCTCCAGGTCCTTCATTCCAAAGACAGGGTAGTTTGAGGCTAAATCAAAGTAATATTTCTTCCTATATTTTAAGACATATGCTCTGAGAGGGGTGGAAGTAGTTAACAAAGGATTGTAGATTTTGTTTAAAATGTAGAAATACAGTAGTATAAGTGTTTGCTCACAATGAGAATAACATGGTATTTTAGAAATGATGAAGATGCTAAATATTCCTTCACACTCCAATGATGGGGGATAGACAGAAGATTAAAACGTGTGCCATAGTTTCAAACTGGATTTAAGATTATTTATGGTAAATACATAATTTAAAACCTCTAAAAGTAATTCAAGATGTAGTCCCTTAAATGATAAAAATACAAGTATTATCAGAAAGGTAAATTACCACACTAATTGATATCTGTAATTTACAAGGTCAGACTGACGACTTTAACAGATAATATCCAAATCCAAAATATTTAGTAAAGTATATTAATCAAGATTGTGACTAAATCTTAAAAAGCAAGAAGAATATCTACATGTTTCTTTTTTCTTTTCAATACTATCACGATGCTTACACCCATACATTCTACCTGTAAGATGGGAGTGAGCAATTTCTCTCATAAGTTGTTATATATGGAGGTGAATAAAAATATATAGACATCTACAAAAAAAAGAGAGAAAGAGAACTGGTGAAAAAGTAGTTTATCTTCTAAAAATCTAAGTTAAAGTCACACATTTCCAGGACTTCTTAATTCTGTTATAGCACAATATAATCGTAAAGTCACTTTAACCCCATAAAATGATCATTTCCTCATCCGCAAAAGGCCAACTAAGTTTGATTCAACATATCTATGACCCCAGGAACAGAAAGTTCTAAACTGTGCCTACTAAAAGGTTATAAGATTATAAGGTATCTGTTAGGTTATATAATTGATGTATATACTAAAGTATGTTTTTATTTAGCATCTGTATTTCATAGTCTTGTCATAAAACACGGTAAACAAAAAAAATGATTCTGAAAAAAATTCACCTCATTATTCATACTAAATTCTGTTAATAGGAAACTTAAAAAGACTACTAACAAAGAGTAGACTAAACATACCTGGTTCATTATAGCCTTCTCTTAAGTACTGAATAAGACAAAAAATAAATCTTGGAAGAACAAATTCAGACATCATCAGTAAGTCTTTGGGGACACAGGGAATATTTGAACTTGATTTAATTTGATGCCTTTTGCAAAACCTGTAATATGAAAAAGAAAAAAAATTAACAGTGATATCTAATCTGCCAGAAACGTATTATCACTATATTTACAACACCCATAAACAGAATGCAGGCCAATATGATTCTTATCAAGGTACCATGTTAAAAGACTGTAAATGAGTCTTTAAATCAAAAATGTGGGGGCGTCTGGGTGGCGCAGTCGGTTAAGCGTCCGACTTCAGCCAGGTCACGATCTCGCGGTCCGTGAGTTCGAGCCCCGCGTCGGGCTCTGGGCTGATGGCTCAGAGCCTGGAGCCTGTTTCCGATTCTGTGTCTCCCTCTCTCTCTGCCCCTCCCCCATTCATGCTCTGTCTCTCTCTGTCCCAAAAATGAATAAACGTTGGAAAAAAAAAAAATTAAAAAAAAAAAAAAAATGTGGCTGAGGGGGATTTCCTCCTAATAGAAGACTACACTAGCTAGGTTCCAACTAGAATATAAAAAGAAAATCTCATTACAGGATTTAATATTTTTAACTGCAATTTATTACTTTTACATACTACTTTGTTACTTCCACTCTTTATAAAACCATTAAGTAGAAATATCATTTCCTAAGAATTTGCATTTTCTATTCCTTAATTATTTCCAATTTATTGTATTAATGAATACATAAGTGATAGAAATACTTAGTTTATTTAAAAAATTAATATAGTACACTTAAGTATATACATTCCTTCTAATCTTGTTTATACTTATTTTAAAGTATGATTGATATACTTGAACAAAAATGAAGCAAACTATTCTGTATTCACAATCCAAATGATCACAAATAAGGTATTTTGTGACAATACAGAATAACCACACTAAACATATAAAATATCTAGAAACAAACTTATTAGAAAGAATGCAAAAACTATCTCACCTGAAAAGCATAAAAGATCTAAATAGAGAAAAACTACATTCTCAAATGGAAAAAATAATTTAAAAAAAAATTGTTTTTAATATTTAGTTTTGAGAGAGAAAGAGTACATGCACCCACAAGTGGGGGAGAGGTGGGGAGGGGCAGACAGAAGATCCATAGGACCCTCTGTGCTGACAGCAGAGAGCTGTCAAATTCAGGAACTGGGGTTCAAATTCAGGAACTGCGAGATCATGACCTGAGCTGAAGTCAGATGTTTAACCACTTAAACCAGGCACCCCTAATTTTATTATTTTTTAAATCAGTGCCACCAAGCTTGATACCATTACAGTTAAATCACAATGGGATTAACCACTAATTCTGAAGTTTAAATGGAAGAGCAAATGTATAGGAAAAAATCTGTAAAACTTGGGAGAAATATGATTAATGATAGTGATTTAAACCTTAAAACATACTACAAAGCTATTATAGTTAAAAATCTGTGGTAATAATGGGGTGCCTGGGTGGCTTAGTGGGTTGAGCGTCCGACTCCAGGTCATGATCTCACGGTTGATGAGTTCGAGCCCCGCGTGGGGCTCTGTGCTGACAGCTCAGAGCCTGGAGCCTGCTTTGGATTCTGTGTCTCCCTCTCTCTGCCCCTCCCCAACACATTCTCTGTCTCAAAAATAAATAAACATTAAAAAAAAAAAAACTGTAGTAATAAAATATCATCAAAGGACCACAATGGAGTATAGAAACAGACCATGTAAACCTGTGAATTTAATATAACAAATACGGCATTTCAATTCAATGTGGTAGGGAGAAGACATTCAACAAATTGCTTTAGGACAATTGATTACTTATATATGCAGGAAGTAAGTGTTATTCTTATCTTACACTACATACAAAATATATTTCATACACATCTAAAGTGAAAAAAGTTACGAGGAAAAAAATAAACTATTCCGCCTACATTACCTCAAAGTACAGAAAGCATAACCAAGTTTAAGCCAAAAGCCATAAATGTAAGATAAAAATTAACTACATAAATCAATAACTTCTATACAGAAGACAAATTACAAGTTAAAAAATATATTTACAAGAGGCAAAACACAATAAAGATTAGTATCTTTGATTAAGAACTCTTAAAAACGGTAAGAAAAAGAAAACAATTCAATAGAAAAAGCAGCCAAAGTCATGAACAATTCACCAAAAAAAAACCCTGCTGAATGGCCAATAAACAAATGAAAAGATGCTCAAGTTCTCTAATAACCAAAGCAATGAATTATATTAAAATAAAAAATGAGTTGGGGCGCCTGGGTGGCTTGGTCGGTTAAGTGTCCGACTTCGGCTCCGGTCATGATCTCACGGTCCGGGAGTTCAAGCCCCGCGTCGGGCTCTGTGCTGACAGCTCAGAGCCTGGAGCCTGTTTCAGATTCTGTGTCTCCCTCTCTCTCTGCTCCTCCCCTGTTCATGCTCTGTCTCTCTCTGTCTCAAAAATAAATAAACATTAAAAAAAAATTTTTTTCTTAATAAAAAATGAGTAACTAGAAAATAACCTTTTTGTGATATCTAGTGAAATAACTGACATATGAATGGAGCCATTATAAAGAAAAGCTTAAGGGGCAATTTTCCATTTAGATGATAACATCCTTATCAATCTTTGCATAACAAGAAGTTAGATGATAACATCCTTATCAATCTTTGCATAACAAGAAGTTAAAAAAAAAAATTCAAACACTGTGATTCTTATGAAGCACACAGCACCATTTAGGAAGAGTTCTTACCAAACAAGCTGAACTTGACACCTAGTCTCTAGAGCTCACTTCCATTTATAAGAAGTATAGGGGTTAAAGGAAAAAGTTAAAAACACCCCTAAAAACAAATAGACAAATCATGAATGTAGACCATTATATAGGACAATGGATTTAATTTATGCAACCTGTCCGTGGCAAGAGGAGAAAGAAGGTAGAAGGACCCCACTCTAGGTTTGAAACAGCTTTAGAGATCCAATAAACATAATACGTGAACCAATCCTAACAAACCAACTTTACAAAGGTATTTTTTATACAATCAGGGAGATCTAATTATGAACTGGGTAACATAACAGTTCATTAGTTCATTAGATAATTTTATTAGGTGTGATAACAGCATTGTGATTATGTAGGAAAATATGCATGGATATTTGGTGATACTAAGGAATTATTTTATGTAGGTAGGACAGTAGCATCATTGCAGTTATCATGGGAAAAGGAAGTCTTGTGTTCGAGATATATCTATAGAAATACTTACAGATAAAATGCTATATATATGAGACTTGCTTCAAAATAACACAGTGGGGTGAACTGAATTAGGTGGGAGTATGCCAAAGACCAACTAGAAGTTGTTAGTTGTTGAAACTGGGAAATGGATACATGAGGTTTCATCATGTTGTGCTCATTAAATAGAATGTGGGCCAATATCAAAGCCAGTAAGTATTCCATTCACATATTTAAGGCACCAAGTCAAATAAATGTAGTTTTAATTGGTCTTTAAATAAAAAATGTCACTGAAGGAGCTTTTTCCGAATAAAAGATCATAGTAGTTGGGTTCATTATGTGCATTGCCTTTATATATGTTTGAAATTTTCTGTACTAAAAAGCTAAAAAATGCTTAAAAGAAAGGAATTATTTGAATTTTTTAAATATAAATACTGGGGGCGCCTGGGTGGCTCAGTTGGTTGCGCATCAAACTTTGGCTCAGGTCACGGTCTCATGGTTTGCAAGTTCGAGCCCCACATTGGGCTCTCTGCTGTCAGCGCTGAGCCTGCTTTGGATCCTCTGTTGGGCTCCTTTGTCTCTCTCTCTGTCTCTCTCTCTCTCTCTCTCTCTCTCTCTCCCTATGCCCCTCCCCCACTAGCATTCTCTCTCTCTCTCTCCCTCTCTCTCAAAAATCAACATTAAAAAAAGGTAATACTGAAGCATGTCAGGGTAAGATGACAATATTTGGAATTTCCTTCAAAATACTTCAGAAAAACAGAAGAAAAGGACAAATGAAGCAAATGTGACAAAAATCTTGGTAAATGTTGAGTCCAGTGATGGGTATACACGGAGGTTCAATGTTCTCGTCTTTATCTTTGTGTATGTTTGAAAATTTTGATAACACAAAAATCTTTTTCATCTTGAGGACTGGGGAAAGTTCACTTTACTAATTCATTGTTGGAAAGTACATTCAGAAATGTTTGTTATCGTATACACAGAAGTGTATATAGATCCCGTTTCTATAAAATCCCGCTCTAGCAAAATTTACTAAAACTTTTAGTGTTCAAAAGCAAATGAGCGGAAAAAAGCTTTGGTGGGTCTTGTCGCGGTTCCCACCTTTGCCTTCATCTCTGCAGCATGGTTTTCATAACCTGGCAATTTGTGTACTCTGTGTGCTCCTCATCTGCTACCTCAGCCTCCGTGAAGAAAATCATCATCAACTACATGTTGGTTACTGGCAGCAAGATGATGGGCACTGACATCACCCAGGTTGCTGCAGCAACTGGCCACAACGGTGTTGGTGGACCAGACAGAGGACATGCTGGCAAAATCTAGAAATGAGATTGAGGAAAGCCTTAGGAAAGTGGCAGAGAAGAAGTCTGCATAAAACCCCAAGGCGGGTGATGAATTTGTGGAGAAGACCCTGAGCAACATATCAACCAGCATGGATGCAGCATCCATAGTCCACAGCATGGACTTGGTGGTAGAGGCCATTCTGGAGAATTTAAAGATGAAGAATGACTTCTTCAAGAGGTTGAACAAGTTTGCCTCTGAACGTACAATCTTTGCCAGCAACACTTCCTCTCTGCAGTCTACAAACATAGCCAATGCCACCATAAGACAGGACTGATTCGCTGGACTCCATTTCTTCAACCCAGTGCCCTTGATAAAGCTTGTGGAGGTCATTAAAACACCACTGACCGACCAGAATACACCTGAATCTCTGACAGACTTCAGCAAAGCCCTGGAAAACCATCCAGTTTCTTGTAAGAACACGTCTGAGTTTACTGTGAACTGTCTCCTAGTGCCATACCTCATGGAAGCAGTCAGGCTGCATGAATGAGTAATGCATCCAAAGGAAGATATCAACACTGCTATGAAGCTAGGAGCTGGTTACTCCATGG